AGCAGGGACCTCAATGCAACACTCATCCTCTGTACCTTTGCTGATTTCCCCACAGGCCTTTTCACACAGCTCCCTGGTCTGAAAGTTCTTGTGATTGTCCCCACAGCCCATGAACAAGACACACTTCTTCTTGTCTCCATCATAGTGGTAGCGCTGCAACTTCTTTTTGCAGCTGTCCTGTTGCAGAGGTAACTGGCACTGGTCACTGCGGACTGCAAGAGAGTGAAAAAAGGGAGTTTGTGTGGGCTCTGGCTCAGGGGCTCTGTCAGAATATTCACGAACTGGCAGAGACATGGGTCACAACATCAGCCAATGGGAGCTGAATTGGGGGCTGAGAGAGGAAGGAATCTGGGCGTGGCTTAGCTCTGTGCTCTCAGCTCTAAAGTGAAACCACTCTTGTTCTGAACTCTGAAGCTGCCGGTTGTGTTTTTGCTTGTAACCTTTTCCACGCTGGAGGAATCTACTATTGGTATTGTAAAATTTACTTCAAATGTTATTATGTATATAAAGAAGTTAATGAATCCTGCTGAATCAATCATCTGTGTGTGTTTTCCGGATTTGAATTTCTGCTGCAAACTCTCCCTGCTGCCTGGTGCTCAGGTGGAGGACAGAATGGGAAGGAAACAGGTGGGAGAAAGAGGCTTGGACACACCTGAAGGCAGGCAACCTTTGCCGCAGCCGGTGTAGCAACACTTCTCAGTCAGGTTGCAGTCACGGTCATCACTGCAGGTGCTGTTGCAGGGAACCAAGGTCGGCAGTTTGACCCTCCTGGGACACACGCCGGGGTGTTCTAAAATGAGAGGGAGTGTCAGATCCCAAGAACTAATCAAGACACATACAGTTACTTTGGCGCAGTTTTCTTTGGTGTTCCTTACCTCAGACGGAATCTTGTCAGACTAAAGCAACCACTTGCATATTATAGATCATAGCAATAGCACTTAGACTTCTATACCACTTCACAGTACTTTTACAGCCCTCTCTGAGTTTGATAAAGTCAACCTCTTGCCCCCAACAATTTGGGTCCTCATTTTACCCCCCTCAGAAAGATGGAAGGCTGAGTCAACCTTGAGCCTGGTGAGATTAGATCTGCCAAACTGTAGGCAGCCGGCAGTCAGCAGAAGTAGCCTGCAGTACTGCACTCTAACCACTGCAACACTGCGGCTCATAATACTCTGTGAATCTCTAGGAAGGAGTTATATTAAACTTCTTGACCAAATTATCTAGATTTTCCTTCCTCTTTGCTCTCTCTAATACAGCCCCTCCCTTCTGGGAATTCAGACTACATTCACCCACAGGCAGGGTTCAGATGGCAGAGGTGTCTCTCTGATGCAGCCTTGCCCTTTCTCTGCTGCTGTCAGTCCAGGCCAGACCCCCCCTCCCTCCCACAGTCCAGTGCAGGGCTCGGTCCTGGAATAGGCCAGAGAATGCCATACCAGGACAGGAAAAGGCCAAGCAACGCATCCCTTGGTTAATGCTAAACTTGTGCAAGAACCTTTTTGGCTTCACATTTGATGCACACCCTTTAGGACAGATAAAGGTGTTGTGCATGTGGAGGAAATGGGTTTAACTTAATTTAGGAATGAGCTGAAAAGTATGGTGTGGATAGACCATACCATACAGACAGGATGTCATTGTGGGATTGGGCATCCTGCCATCTGTCATTGGTGTGTGTGTGTGTGTGGTGGTTGTGTTGGGGTGGGTAGAGATAGACACAGAGTGAGAGACAAAGAAAAAGACAGACAGGAAGAAGGACAGGAAAGAAGGAAGGAAGGAAGAGTGGGAGAGAGGGATGAGGAAAGAAAGAAAGAAGGGGGAGGGAGGGAAGGAAAGGGGCTGAGATAGGAGAAATGGTGAAGGAGGGAAAGGATATTGTCACTCACAATACTATAAAAGCTACAGTCTGCTGGTCTGTCGTAGACTGCAATGCATGAGACTTCAAAGAGAGAACTGAGAGGGACAGATGGACAAGTCCACTGCTCAGCAGAGGAGGGAGGGAAGGACGGAGTGAACCAGCAGAAAAAAAAGAAAGAAAGAGAGAAAGAGAGAAAGAAAGAAAGGAAGGAAGGAAGGAAGGAAGGAAGGAAGGAAGGAAGGAAGGAAGGAAGGAAGGAAGGAAGGAAGGAAGGAAGGAAGGAGTAGCACCTTCCACAGCATCCACGCATATCTTCCTGCCCGCAAAATTGCAGCACTTCTTCCAAGGAAGGTTAACAATGTTGTGGTTACAGTCCCTGTCTTTGGTGCAGTTCTGGAAGCAAACGTCCGCTCTGCTGGGTGGGAGGAGCAGCACCGGGCAGTATCCTGGGCGATCTAGGGAGAAATGGGGGACACAGAATGAAGAGAGCATTCGGAGTGGGACTCAAACCTTAAGGACACAGTTCCC